TCAATAATCTCTGACACTTTTGGGTTCTTATCTTTATCAGGAAAGCAGAGGTCAAGGCAAGGGTTAAAATTCATGGCAAGCGTTGTTATTTTTAAAATATTATTTGGACTTAACAATGTTAAGAGAGAATAATATTTATTTGGAGTTTGACATGTCATATTATAGGTCTTTATATTATTAGAACGATTTAAATGTAACAAAATACGGGTAAATGCATGATTATTATGCAGAGATTCAAAATCTTGAACAAAAATACCTATTTATCATGTAGTAAGAGAAAGCACGTCACCATTAAAGATAAGAAGTTACCTTGAAGGTGGAAGCGAACGAGGAAAAGTGAGTTCCCACTTGAGGTTTGAAAATGAAGATGAAAAAATCGTGTTAATGTTGCTGAGATAATATGGTTCCTTCTGTTGCTGAGATAAACAACTCAAAAAACACATATGAAGGTCCAAATGAAGCACATGCACCCTCTCATGGGTCTGAACCCACATGACATGAAAGCAACTCTGTAATTATTATTTTTTATATAGCAGTTTATATCAATTGCAAATAATAGTAAAATGTGGGACTAAAAATCTGGAAATTTTTTTTATTTTTTGAAACATATACCAAACCCACACAGCCCACCTTAGGACATGCACTTGGAAGAGACTTGTCTGCCTCTAGGTCTTCTTTGAATTTTTGTGCCACTTACAAAACCACAATGGCTCAATTTTAGTAATGCAGATTAAGGGTTAATTTTGACAAAAGCATTTGTGGAATTGGTGCCTTCCCACTCAAATTTGCAAAAAGTGGACAATTGAATGGTATTTTTGGACAATTGGTGCCTTCCCGCTCAAACTTGCAAAAAAATGTGTCATAGTTTTTTCAACAAAAGTACTTGCGGAAGACAACAATTGATCGAAAATAACCTTCAATTGACATTGAAAGCAGCGAAAAGGTGGGACCCATGCGTGCCACGTAGACAATTAAGGGAAATTTTGACGGTCGAAACCAGATTGCAAAAATTAAAAAGATTAGGGTACATGATTGTTAAAATTGAGAGTGCAAGGACAAACATGCTCTAAGGGTGAGAGTTCAGGGTACTAAATTGAAATTAACCGAAAAATTAATGAAAATGAGTTTTGTGAAAACAATTTAAAATCTTGAGGGGTGTTTGTGTAATTTCTGAAACTCCAGGGAGCTTTGTGAAAGGGCCAAAAAGCTCAATAGGTATTAGTGTAAATAACTCAATAAAAGAATGAAAAAGAACATTAGCACGTAAACTAAATTACAACATAAAAAATTTAGAGCCTCAAATATAGAGTCTCGGACATCCCCATTGTGAGAGAGAATACATTTTCCATTGAACGAACCATGTACTGAATGAAAAAGAGATACAAACCAGCCTTAATAAGAAAAAGAAATACCATCCTTTGACCACTTTTGTAGCTGTCAATGTAGGCGCATTTCTGCTATATAGCAATACTGGCCATGTGATGTGCACTATCTTAAAGCAATTTATTCAGCAAAGAAAAGGTAAAGGTAGTGCTCTCACCTATAGATGCTTAAATTAAAGACCGCGTCAGCATGAAAAGAAAATTCAGCGTTTGATGACTGGAAGAAAACGAAAGTTCCTCACACCTTTAACTTAATCACGTCCGCATGGAAGGTGGTAGGAAACTGCTTCGTCAAGCTTTAGTTCTTAAGCCTTAAGCTATTTGTCATGTATATAAGCTTAGTTCTTACTGTATCGTTTTATTAAGAAAGAAAATCAATACAAAATCAGATACGATTCTCTCTGCTTCTTCTTCAATTCTTCAATGTTCAACTTCAAATCCTTATTCAGGCTTATGGGGAGTTCCCCAATGCCAATTGATTCTGGGGTGGAATCTCAACTTCCTTTAGATCTGCCCCCTACGACCACTCAACCAGTCTCTTCTTCTCCTTCTTCCTCTTCTTTCGCAAATGATTCATCATGGAAATATGATGTGTTTTTGAGTTTTAGAGATGATACACGCTTCAATTTTACAGATCATTTGAACAAGGCGTTGTGTGTTAAGGGCATCTACACCTTCATTGATCGAGAGCTTGTAAGAGGAGAAGAAATATCGCCAGCCCTTGTCAAAGCAATTGAAGAATCAAGAATTTCTGTCATTGTATTCTCTGAAAACTATGCATCTTCGAGGTGGTGTTTGGATGAACTTGTTGAGATCCTTCGATGTAAACAATCAAAGCAACAAATAGTTTTGCCCATTTTTTACAAGGTGGATCCGTCGGATGTACGAAAGCAAACAAATAGTTTTGGAGATGCATTTAAAGGCCTTATTCAAAGCAAATTCAAGGATGACAAGGAGAAAGTGCTCATATGGAAGGAAGCTCTAAGACAAGCAGCAAATTTGTCTGGACATACTTTCAAGGATGGAGAGTACGTATATTTCTATCTTTATCATTTTCAAGTTTAAATATTACACATTTAATTGTTACTCATTATTAAAGAAAAGTATCCTTTTGTAAAAATATAAAGTTTTAAATCCTTGTTAACATCTTTTTTTTCTTTTTTGGTCAGAAGAATTATTACGTACAAGATTGTTGATGTTGTGTTCTTTTGCGTGGTTGGATTGGATGTTTAAATCCGATTCACTAAATGTGTCTAATTTGGTTAAACTGGCAGGTATGAAGCTACATTTATCAACAACATTGTTGATGGAATCTTAATCCAAGTATTGAGCGGCACATATTGGAATGTGGCCAAGTACCCGGTTGAAATGAAGTCTCATGTACAAGATGTGAAAAAGCTTTTAGATGTTGGTGGGAATGGTCGTCGCATGGTTGGGATATGGGGGACATCTGGAATAGGCAAGACAACAATTGCAAAAGCTATATGGAATGCAATTGCCCATGAGTTTGAAGGAAGTTGTTTCTTGGAAAATGTTAGGGAAAATTCAATGCCACATGGAGGCTTAATCAAGCTACAGAAGACTCTTCTTCATAAGTATCTAGGCAAAAAGTTGAAAATTCAGAGTGTTGATGAAGGAATCGGTGTTATAAAAGAACGGCTGAGGCATAAAAGGATTCTATTAATTCTTGACGATGTGGACCACTTGGAGCAGTTAGAAAACTTGGCTGGAGATGATTGGTTTGGTGAGGGTAGTAGAATAATCATTACTACAAAAGATAGGGGATTGCTAGACAATCGTGAAATTGAGTTGATATATGAGGTGAAGAAGTTAGAATACAACCAAGCTCTTGACCTTTTCAGTTGGCATGCATTCGGAAGAAGTGAACCTCCAAAAGATTATTTGGAACTCGCACAACGTGCCATAGCTTTTGCTGATGGCCTTCCACTAGCTCTAACAATTTTAGGTTCTCATCTTCGTAATAGAGGTATACGACATTGGCAAGTTATATTAGATGGTTACAAAGGAGAACCTTATACGCATATTGAAAGAATACTTCAAAAAAGTTATGATGCCTTGGATGATAACACTAAAGAAGTTTTTCTCGACATTGCATGCTTCTTCAAGTGTGAAAATAAGGACTATGTGCTACAAATGGAACCCAAAAATGGGATTGAAGTACTCGTTGATAAGGCAATGATAACTATTGAATGGGATGATAGGATTTTAATGCACGACTTGCTAGCAAACCTGGGCAAGGATATAGTTCACAAAGAATCCCCCAATGATCCCAGCAAGCGTAGTAGATTGTGGTTTTACGAGGATGTCAAGCAAGTTCTAACGGAAAGTATAGTAAGTATTACATATGTTATTATATTCAATTTGAAAAGAATGAATACCTTATGTAACCTATAAGTTTCTTAACAAATTCGTTTCCTAATTAATGCTTTTCCATCTTAGGGAACAAGAAATATTAAAGGCATCTTGGTGAAGCTTCCAGAACCAGCTGAGATAACCTTGAATCCAGAATGCTTCCGTAATATGGTAAATCTTCAAATTTTCATAAACCATAATGCATCTCTATGTGGGCACATTACCTACCTGCCCAACGCGTTAAGATGGATTGATTGTGATGGATGTCAGATACAATCTTTGCCACCCAATTTTCTTGGAGAGCGTCTTGTTGTGTTCAATATGCCTCACAGTGATATCAGACAATTGGAGAGACTTAAGGTATGCATTTGAAATTATTTTTATCTATTATATATCATTTCAAATAGAGTTGTTAATTTCAGAAGGAAAAAAAATGGAAATTGTTTTCTAAGTTTTTGTCTTTTGAAGCGTGTGATTAATTATTTCCTGTTTTTGTGTTCTTGTCTCACAGCATTTGCCAAACCTGACATATATGAATTTGAGTGGTTGTCAATTCTTAGAAAAAATCCCAGACTTATCCGGAATCCCAAACATAAAGTACTTGCATCTAATTAACTGTACATGTTTGGTTGAGGTTGATGATTCTGTTGGATTCCTTGATAAACTTGTTGAATTGGATCTTAGTAGATGCGTTAATCTTACGAGGTTTGGAACAAGACTTAGATTGAAATCCTTACAAAAATTTTGGCTAATGGGTTGTAAAAGGCTTGAGAGTTTCCCAGAAATAGAAGTCGAGATGGAATCACTACAGATATTGAATATTGGAAGAAGTGGCATAAGAGAACTGCCTCTATCAATTGCATATCTTACCGGGCTTGAAGATTTGACTCTTCATGAATGCTTCAATCTTACTGGGCTTGAATTATGGCTGCTTTATTGCTGGTCCACATTACGAGAACTTGATCTATCTGGAAATAATTTTGTCACGCTTCCGGAATGCATTAGCAAATTTGTGAGCTTGGTGGTGCTTTACTTGTGTGATTGCAAGAGTCTTCTAGAAATTCCACAAGAAGTGCTTCCACCAAGAGTAGGTCGGGTATACCTGGATAACTGCACATCATTGGAAAAAATTCCAAAACTGCCACTATCAGCAGAGGTTAAGTATTTGTGTTTGATCAATTGCGTTAGACTACGTGGCTATGACATAACAGAAAGTAGTATTCTGGATCAGGTTTCTGTCTCTTCTCTCTCTGTGTCTCTCTTTGTCTCTCCCTCTATGTTATATGGTTAAGATGATGATTGTTGTAACCAATTGTATTGTAGGTATCTTCTCATCCGCGTTCTCAATTTTCAATTACTCTTCCAGGCGATGAAGTACCAAAGTGGTTCAGCTGTTGTAAAGATGCAACACTAGTTAAAGATGAATACTCTGATAGGGTTGCTCGATGTGAAGTTTGTTTTGAAATTCCTCCAAATTTAGATTGGGAGACGTTAAGATTGGTTCTATGTGTTGTTATTAAAGGCAGAGGAAGGTCATATTTTGATATAGGTGAGGTAGACTCACGTGTTCATATCAATAGAAAAATGGTCCAATCGATATCGATTATTAAATATGCGGAAGTTACGCGTATTCCAGAGGAAAGTCATATGGCTCTTAGGTGTATTCCATTATTGAATATGTGCAAGTTACGTGTGGGGGAAGAACTGACGCGGTTGCAGCAGGGTAATATGTGTCAAATTATATTTGAGTTCTATGACATGCCCACACCCGTTAAAATCCTCTGCGGGGTCCACCTATTAGGCCACCAGGTTGCTGATCATGGGCCAATGCAGTGGTTGCCTGATGCGATGGCAGTGGACGATGATATTCATGATGATCAACACCAAGACAACGAATTGCTTTCCTTGCCTTCACCGTTAGAGATTAGTCTTGGCAAGAGGCCTCGGTTATCAGATTTCATGGCACTTGATGATGATCATTGTGCTAACGTCGACGACGTTTGTGATCATGAAGCTCAAAGAGGAGAGGCGGATCACCCAAAGAGAAGGCACACTGATATTAACGAGGAGCCAAAGTATGTAAATCCATTAAATGTTGATTGATATCTTTGCACTTTCTGGTCATATATCAGCATTTTGTGATCAATTCAAATTTAGAAATATTTTGTTGTGCATCTCTTGGATATATGTTGTAGCTTCTAGGGTGTGAATTTTATTTTATTTTTTGTTTTGGGTTAAATCCTTTTTCTTAGTGCTCTACATTCGATATTAAATTTTCAGGCAATGAAGTTCCAAAGTGGTTTATGTAAGCCTCAAGTTCAGCTGTCGAAACGAACCAAATTTCTAGGCAATGGTCTGGTAATCAAGAGGTGTGTTGAGGTGCCAGCAATTTCTAAGATTCCATTTTAAGTTGCATAAGGCAATACCTTCTTCTCAATTGATGCATCCAGCATTTATCCGCAGATGAACAAAACTGGTTGCAAGCCGGATTTATCTAATGCTTTCATTCCACACATATACTTTGTCTGTGATTATTCTATCTCATTCATTGGAATTGATGTATGTTGGGGATGAAATGTACAAGAATCCTAGCATGTCTAAACCATGTCAAGTTGCTGCAACTCACTTTGCTGTTATAGTTGTTCAAGATTTTTTGATAATCTTGCAAAGACATGAAATGAAAAGCTTGATGAGCAGGAATAGTGTCATGTATATTATGTTGTTTTTGAACTCCTGTCTAGTTTGCGAATAGATTGTTAGAGAAATAGAATCCTAGCAGGTATGGAAGAGAATATCAGAAAGTATATGAGAGAAGAAGAGAGAAAATAAATCCGAGAAAACGATTAGAAGAATTCCTCTGTATTCTGTTTTTGTATTGAGCACTATCTATCAAATCCTATTAGCTCACTCACACACACACAAAATGAAATAACCGTTTGGAGGAGAGAGAGAGTTAGACACACTCCTAACACTACATTTATCTATTTGCACGACGATATTTTGCGCGACGACGACACGTTCATCGCGCAAGAAACACTTGTGCGACGGAAAAAGCTATTCGTCGCGCAAACCGTGAAAAACTTACGTGACAAAAATATACCGTCGCACAAGAACACTTCGTGCGACAAAAAACTTCATCGTTGCGCAAAGTGAGGAAGAAAAACGCGGGAATGTTTTTTTGGTGCCAAATAGTTGCGCGACGATAGAAATCTTCGCGACAAAGACTGTAGCGTGACGAATAACATTTTCGTAGCGTAAAGTTAGATAAAAACTGCCAATTATGTTATTTGGCGACAAACACTTGCGCGACCACGACTGTCGTCGCAAAAGAACACTTAGCTAGATGACAAACCTTATCGTCGCGTAAGAAATTGGCGCCAAAACCTTGCGCGACTGAAGCTTCTGTCGTCGCGTAAAGTTTGATGTCGGCCCGTTCATACGCGATGAAAATTGTCTTTTGCGCGATGAATGTTTGCGTGATGAAATATGTTTTGCATCGCGCAACCGTTGAATGTCGACATGAACTTGCGGGATGAAAAATGTATTTTGGGCGACGAAACGGACCACTTGTGCAACGAGAATGAGGTTTTACGCAACGAAAAAAAAAGTTGTTTATGGTTTGCGAGACGACATGTGTCTTCATTGCGCAAAAACCTTCTTCATATTATCTAGATTCTGCCATTGCAGAGGCAGACTTCACAAAAAAAAAAAAGCTCTGCCTCTGCCTCTGCCTCTGCCTCTGCTTCTGCTTCTGCTGGGAATTGAGTACGTTTATTGGGCAAGTACTTTTAGTCGTTAGTTTAAAAGTATTAATGTAAATTCATACTAACTCTATTAATTTCGTTGTCTTTAGGGATATTTGTAATTAGCAATTGGTGGAGAACAATTGAGAATGTATTTAATTCGTTTTATATTTTTTTGTGAAATTATATTTATATTATGTTCTTAAATTGTCCGTTACGTAGCACAATGTGTTGTGATGTACGAAGTTAATTGAAATTAACTTCGTACTTTGTTTTTTATTTGTATTAAAACTTAGTTTCCCATTCGAGATTAGTTGGATTTCGTGCATGGATGCGTAAAGCATGACTGTGGTCCAATTAATTCTTGAATCGTCCCATTATTTGGACAGTTTAGGAATGCATAGTCATGTCCCGTAATGTACAGCTACATGATTAGGTTTCGATTGTGGAGATTTCGTTGTCATCTCTATACGTTCTTCGGGTGGTACATAGATATTTTATACCTACGGTACACCTCAAGAACTGTATCGAGATGCTGCCGAAATTCATCTAGGTCGAAATCTAATCTCATATAGCCGTAAATTACGTGACATGACTCTGCATTCCCGAATGGGATAGGGCCCATACCGGAGGCATAAAGTGACATTATAACTTCGTATATAGTTGTTGTGATTATTGTGTTGTGATTGTGGTTCCAGGAATTATGAGCAGGAGGTGGATACATAACCCGAATAGATGCGCAGACGAATACTTGGATGGAATCAAGGATTTTATTGAGTTTGCACGTAGACACAACCCAGGTGCAACTAGAATCTATTGTCCTTATAGGACGTGTAACAACACGTTGTGGAAGAAATTGAAAATGTTGGATTTCATTTAGTAAGGAATGGAATGATTAAGACATATAGCATTTGGAACCTTCACGGGGAACAATTAGACAATGCTTCGTCCACAAATGCCACAAGAGAGGACAATGTTGAACCTATTGTGGATCCTAATGAACAAGTCATGGATATTATAAATTATGCTTTTCCATTTGCATTGACCAACATCAATCAGGAAGGGGAAGATGACGTGCCAACCCCAATGGACAGTTCAAAGTTCGAACAATATGAAAAACTGTTAAAAAATGCCAACAAACAGTTATACCCGAGGTGCAAGAGCTTTTCCGTTCTCACGGCGATTGTGGAGCTAATGCACGAAAAAATAAATTATCGTATGTCGAACCTGTGTTTTGATTACTTTTTTGGGGGTTTTGAAGAGAATGCTTCTGACGGACAATTGTTTGCCAAAACACCATAGACACACACAAAAGGTGTTGAATGGTTTTGGATTGGGTTATGAAAAAATTCACGCTTGCAAAAATAATTGCATGTTATTCTACAAAGAGTATGAAACATTGGATACATGCCTTATATGCAATGAGTCAAGGTTCAAAATGACATCTCAGAATAGAATGACTAAGATCCCACAAAAAGTCATGCGTTATCTACCCTTGAAACATAGGCTGCAGCGATTGTATATGTCGACGCATACTGCCACAGACATGAGATTGCATAAGGAAAAAGTTCGATCGAACGTTCCCCGAGTTTGCTGCTGATCCCCAAAGTGTAAGATTGGGACTTGCCATTGACGGATTCAATCCATACGTGGTTCTAAACCAACACCACAGCACTTGTCCCATTTTCATATTCCCATATAATTTGTCTCCTTGGAAATGCATGAAAAAAAAGTACATGATGATGACTGTTTTGATAACTGAGGATCCTGGCAGGTCAATCAATGTTTACTTAAGGCCATTGGTTGATGAGCTCAAGGATTTATGGACAAACGGTGTGCGCACGTATGATAAATCCACTGGGAAGATGTTCACTTTGCGGGCAGCAGTTATGTGGACTGTGAATTATTTTCGCATACATGCAATAGTTTCTGGGTAGAGTACAAATGGTTGTATGGCATGCCCTGTATGCAAGGAATATGTAACTTCTGGTTGGCACGCCGGAAAAGTTTGTTATCTTGGTCATCGGAGATGGTTGCCATGGAACCACGAGTGGCGGGAAAAGGATAAAGAGTTCGACGGGAACACAGAGCATCGCCTCAGACCTAGAGAATGGTCCGGTGATGAGATCTTGGAACAGTTTGAGATGATATTCCCTCCAACTTTCTTCACAAGTATGATCCACGTGATGGTTCACTTGCCAGAATAGGTATTGCTTGCTGGTCCTGTCAACTATAGTTGGATGTATCCAATAGAAAGGTATATAATCCTCATCATTTGTTTATGCCTCCTTATCCCACACTTGCTAATTTGTATCATATCATTTTATTTTGGCAGGCTGCTCGGAGAGCTGAAAAAAACTATACGCAACAGGACGAAGCCCGAAGGATCAATTATAGAGGCTTGGATTCAATATGAGTGGCTTACTTTATGTGGAATGTATTTAAAAGATGTGGACACGGCTTTCAATCGTCCTTAGCGCAATAATGACGGAGGTGTGAGAAATAAGAAACTTTCTGCTTTTGCCCAAAGCGCACGACCCTTTGGAGATCCTGTACGAGGAGAGTCGTTTTCCATAAATGACATGGAGGTAGCGCATTGGTTTGTACTGAACAATTGTGATGGGATAATGGCATACTTAGATGAGCATGAAGAGATGATGAAGCGAGAACATCCATCACATTTGTATGCCACGAAACACCGTGAATTGTTTCCACAATGGTTTTTGGAAACAGTAAGTTAAAAGTGTTTTGTATTTGACATATATATTGTATTATTTAATGTTCTCAAACTAACATGTGAATGTTTTTATATAATATTAGGTCAATAAGTTAAAATCATCGAATTCCCCCACTTACAGTGAAGATTTATATAACTTGGCGTTCAGCCCAATTCGGGCTGAATTGTTCTCAGGTTGCCATGTTAACGGCATCAAGTTTTTGGGGACTACACGAGATGACAAGTTGTGTATGCAAAACAGCGGTGTCCATGTCCCAGGTGGAGGTGAAACTACGGACATTGATTTCTATGGCAAACTCACAACGGTCCTGCAATTACTTTACAAAGACCGATACCAAGTGATCATGTTTAAGTGTCGACGGTTTGATACAAACCTAAATAGACAGGGAAGTGTTAAAATCGACCATGGCTTACTATCTGTGAACATTAACAGAACTTGGTATGATGACGACCCTTACATTTTGGCAAACATGGCAAAACAGATTGTGTATCTAGATGACCCTAAAGATGAGAGTGGTTGAAAAGTTGTTCAGCAGATGGATTAGAGGATCGTGTGTGCTATACCAAAACTAGACCCAACTGACAACGACGTCGACAACGTCGTTGACCAACGTTTGGAATCTTCCATGGAAAATGATGCAGAAACACTTCGAGATACAAATGTTATACAATAACCGTTTCGGCTTCAAGGAGTGTCTTCAAATCGAAATACAAATTCAGTCAATTACAATTGACCTCGGTGATCTTCCGTGCTACGATGTTCCAGTGGGCCCAAACTACAAAAGTGATGAGGAGGAGGATTGGGAGACCGAAAGTGATGATAGCGACGATAACGAAGGTTATTATAGTTCAGATGATGAATAATGCAATTTATTAGTGACTACCAATGTAAAACATAGTAAATTAAATTTTTTGTAATTTAATTATGGTAGTGTAAAGATGGCAATCACAAATTAAAATCAAGTTGCACACAAAATTGGCAATCACAAATTAAAATAAGTCATATAATATATAGATTGAAATTTAGATATATACCTAAATTTGAAAACACATTTGAATCTGACTATTTGATTTTCAGTGGTATTTATG